CCCCCCCCCCAAAAAAAAGAAAGAAAAAGATAGTCCTCTAGATTGAAAGAGGTTACTCAGAATAAACTAGGACACGGAAATTAACGGGCACCATCTCAAGAAGACCTGACTGGAAACAAGCCCATTTCTAGGCTTTTCTCGATGGGTTGGATGCAGAGTTCCATGCATTTTGCATGGAAATCAGTCACTATCAAATTTTAGACAGTGCATTTTAGATTGAGGCTTTCCAGGTTTTGTCTGCTCATCCCCAAACTTAGAAACCCACGAATGCAATAAGCTATACTTAAGAGCGATTTGTCTGAGTCTTAATTTTTCCTCTCAAAACCTACAGAAGCCTGTGCATTCTTACTAATCGACTGGTACCTCCAAGTAACACCAGGGAGAAAGTGTCCACCACACACAAACACACTTGCACACACGAACTCTCCTCATACACAATGACTGCTAACTGGGCCACTTCATGGTTCCCTTCCCTTTAGGGCCTGTATAGATTTTGATAAAAGGTGCTTGCACTGGACCAGGCTAGGAAGAGGAGGATGAATGCAGAAGAAGCAGAATGGGCTTCTTTTTTCTCCTTCAGAACATTTTTTTTTCTTTTCTGACTGCTGCTCCTTGGCTCCTAGATAACATCTCATCCTGTAGTTTCTATCTTCTCCTTCCCAGACCTCGCTTAGAGACAGGCCCAGTGTACATGCAAGGAGTCTCCTTTCTCTCCAGCTCAGTCACAGGGAACAAAAAAGCTCCAAAACATTGCTTCCTTCTCCATGGGAGCTTGGTGGCCAGCTTTGTGGAGGGAGGAAGATTCGATAAGCATGTTTCCACTTTCAACCTGTATCTATCACTCAAGTGGCCTGACCATGATGTCAACCAAGACGTGGAGAAAATCTTCTCTACACGAGATCCTGAGCAAACCATAGAGGCACACCGTGCCAGGCAAAGGGGAAATGAGGTAGGAGTTGACTTTAGTGTTTTGTTGAGATGGCTGAACCGAAGCTCCCAATGGATCGGAATCCAAATAGGTAAGATTTTTCTCCTCAGCTACCCCCAACTCCCCCTCCCCCACTCCCCCAGCACCTGGCTTGGACATTTCAAGGAGGAGCGCAGCTCCTCCTTGCAGTGCAGCAAAACATCTTAAGGCCACAGCTCTCTTACTCACCACCTTCGGCTGCCCACATCCCATATGTCAGGCACAGACGGGGGAGTTTGACAAGGAAGAAAGCAACTGATTTAATAGGCTCCACTGCAACCTTAGTCACCATGCAACCAAGACCTTGGTTTCTATTGAGATTGGCTGTGTTGGCATTGCTAGCAAGGAGAGGCGCTGATATTAGCTGATGTTATTTATCGAGCCCTGGGGAAGTTTATAGGCTAACGTGGCTTCCTCGGCAAACACGCACCTAACAGCAGCAGCTCAGAGCTGGCATAAACACATTAACATTTTCACCCACGGATTCTATTTTGGCAGGACAACTAAATATATGCACAGATAACAACTAGGGACTAAAAATGGAGCCTATATGATGTTAAGAAACGTTTTTTGGTATTTTTGTGCTTGAGTTAATTAATGTATGTAGCACCATATTTCCTCATCTACATACAAAGTCAAAGGAACTGAAATGAAGGACTTCCAGTCCAGCCTATTTGTGGAATGCTATAAACCAAACCAACCACATCAGCTCATCAGATAACTTTCCAGTTTGAGGCAAGCTGGTACAGTTTGGCTTACAATTATTCCAATTACAATTATTTATAATATTTATATTATATAGTAGGTGCTTTCTGACTATGTAGTGCTAGTGAATTTCAAAAAATGTAAAATTCTCAAAAATTTAGAGGTGCAAATAAGTGCAATGATTAATAATCTTTAAATGATTTACTAAATTTTTCCATAGTTTTTAATCAAACTGTAATAAACTCTTTGCTCCTTTAGGACCAGAGTTAAGGGTATAGCACTATTATATATATCCCATATATATGTACATAGGATATATACATATATATATATATACACACACACTATATATACTAGTGAATATTGGGGTTTGAAGATTGTCAATTCAGATTCTTTAACCAAAGGATTATTTAGAAGGCAAATGTTACATTTTCTTACATATAACTTTTAGCAACTTTTCTATGTACCTTTAAAAGGTACAATTTTTCAGATGGAGTGTGAGTAAAAGGGGCGTAGTCTACACTCTTTCAGGGCAGGTAAGATATACAATGGACCCCCATCTTGCTACAATTAGAGATGTTCTATCCTCCGGAAAGGACCTAAAATCACATATCTAGATCAGTAAGGACAGATTAGGTCTTTCTCAAAGAAAAACAGCAAGAATAAGTCAAATGTATTTTATTGTTTGAGTTTAGAATGTCAAGTATGTATCAAGAATTGCAAATGAACGTAGAATTTAAACTGAAATTTTGAATCACAATGACAGTAAGAAGCTGGGGTAATCAGGGGACAATACCTGCATTTCCCACAACAGGAGGTAGCTACAGTGAGTTTGAGTCTCCAAAGTCTCCAGACTTAGGAACTAGCTAAAGAAGGAAAATGATCTCAGAACCATGGGACTTCTCAGATATTAATGAGATGTAGAGAAGACAATGAAATAAAATCAACATGTTTATATAGGATGTTAATATTAATATTTATTGCTGGAAGATGTAATTGATTACAAAAAAATCTGGGTGGGGGGACCATAAGGATAATGTATAAAGAAATCTCTTCTTCTGCAGGAGCAATTGTTAAGTGTTAAGTGATGGAAACTGACTAGAATAAAAGCAGTCTCTACAGAAAAAAAATAACACATTACAAGCTCTACCCTGATCATCTGACATGACCTTCCCTCCCGAACAGTGCTGTATTTCATGTGGAATGATTTTGATATCTCCTAATGAGTTCTTCATGCTTTCTAAAACCTGCCACTATTCTAAACCCATGCTGCCACCTGCTGGACCAAAATGCAGATCTGATCATAGTATCCTATTTAATTTCAAACCAACAGCCAACAGCATCCTAGAGGTTTGGGTCCAATGCCCTTTCCAATATTTTCCATCATCTGACACCTGCCCACTCATGCAGAAGGATCCAGCTTGTACTTGGCATTGGGAGAGAATTGATCGTCTTGAAAGGATGGGCTCTTCAGTGGAAACACTCCATGACTTCTTCCGCACCTTCCTTTCTACCATGCTTCCCTACGTCGATACTTTCTTCCCCTGTTAAAACAAGGAACTCCCTGTGTGGTGACAGACCTGTCATCTCAGTACCATGGAAGCTCAGGCAACAAGGAAGGCCATCGATGTGCAGAGAGCTTGGGTTACAATAGTGAGAATTACACAATCGAATTTCCTTCAGACCTGAGATAATATGTCGCAAGATGTGTGGCAGAGAAAAATGAAATGGCATCTCATCTTAGCTGGGTGAGATCTTCAGGGTCCTTCATGGATTATAAATCCCTGAGTCCCTGGGTGTCTTGATTAGGAAGTATAACTCTAGTTGAGAAGTCGAATTCTGTAAGTCTTACTGTGTACATTAATGAAGAATTTCTCCATTTGGTGAACAGGAAGGCAGGGCCATAGCTGGAACATTCATTCTGGTCCCAAGGGCTGGGGGCACAGGCATGAGTGAACACAAGGCCACCACCGCTTCCTGGCTGGCCAGGAGGTTTGTGTACAGGAAGGCAGTGAATCTGCAAGGCTGTGTCTTGGCTGCTGGCACAGAGATACATGGCAGAATCTTCTAGTTCTGGGAACTTGACATGAAGGTTTAAATGAGCTTTGTCTGGAGCTTCTGGTGAGAAGCGACTTGGGACTGTTTCATTGAGATTGAGTTCCTTGTTATAGTAGATAAACATGAGCTTCAGCAGTTGCTTGGAGTCTTGCTTATACCAGTACATAGCATTGTGGCCCAGATTCTGTTTACAGTTTAGTGACTTTTTGTTTCCCACCTGTGTAACAAGATATTTTGGATCCTGGGAAACAGCTGTGTCCAAGGAGCCTGTGATAGAGAGAAGAAAGATTCAGGCAAATGGCAGGAGGAAGATACTGCTGTAGGCATAGTCCAAGAACGAAGTGCCATGTCACCGGTGCCCGGACTCACCTGCTCTTAGAAGACAGAGGGCCACACAGCAGAGGAGCCTGCAGCCCATGGTCCTGGGCAGGCTAGGCAAGGTGGTAGCTCAGGATCTTCTTCAGCAGAAACACCAGGATGCAAGTTTCCCTGCTGCTGATAGGTGCTTTTCCTGTGATGTCATAGCCTTCAATGTCCCTCCTGTTGACATCTCTGACAACTCTAGCAGCTGCCTCTCTGTCCCCTTTCCCTTCCCTAGGAGCTCTATCTTTCCCTGCTTGCTCTCCTTTCCCTGCTCCTGTCTCAGGGTAAGATGAGATTCCTCCACTGAAGCCCTTGTCTTTCCCGCCACACCAATGCATAAGCAATCCTCTCCAATCTTGGTTCCTGTAAAGGCTTTATGTATACTCAGTAGCCACCAGACTACCAGGTTATAGACAAGAGATGGGCCTCATCCAATGGCTGTCATTCACAGTACATGAATGTGAAGACTGGGCAGTGCTGTGAGCTCTTGAGAGACCTGGCATGCAGCCCTGCTCCCTGCAATGTGGTCTGCCCTGGAGCAGGGCTTCATGGGACTTGTCTGTGAGGAGGCAGGGACAGAGAAGTCTTCCTCTGCTGGGGACAAAGTGAATGTGGAGGCCAGCAAAACCATGTGGAAGCTCAGGAAAATCTAAGTGGGATTATTTATGCCTCTGTTCATGAGACATAGTTCCTCTGATTTGGTACATGGTTTGCATCCCAGTGCCTGGCCGAGAATTTATCAACCTTGGCATTGTTTGCATACAGCATGGGCTAATTCTTTGTTGTGGGGACGTCCTGTACACTGAAGGACCCTCAGCAGAGGGTCAGAGCCCTTGGCCTCACCCACCTCATGCTCCTACTGTGACAACCAAGCAACTTTTCCAACAAGGCCTAATCTCCCCAGTGGAGAACCACTTCCCCTTATTTTCCCCAAGGAACCTGATCCTTTACCACCTCCCTGCCTTCTAGTCCCAGTCTTTGGGGACTGATGTATTGTGTGCAATGGTCACATCTCTGTGTCCTCTGTTACTCCTGACCTCCAGGAGTAACACCAGGGAACTAGGATTGTTAGAAGGTACCTGATACACACACACACACACACACACACACACACACACACACACATTTCACACACTTTAATACTGTCACTACCCATTGTTGCGTACTTTGGTGATGTTATTATTGTTCTTATTGCTGCTGCTGTTGTTTGAAATAAGGTCTTAAAAATTTTAAAGTAGTTGTACAAAGGGATTCTGTTTCGTTTTGTTTTTGTTTTTTGGTCCGGTTGTGGGGCCTGAACTCTGGGACTGGGTGCTGTCCTTCAGCTCTTCAGCTCAAGGCTAGTGCTCTACCACTTGAGCCACAGCACCACTTCCAGCTTTTTTCTTTATGTGGTGCTGAGGAATTGAACCCAGGGCCTCATGCATGCAAGGCAAGTGCTCTACCACTGAGCCACCTTCCCAGCCCCACAAAGGGATTCTGATTCCACAAGTCTGATTATGCATACATGGCATCTTGATCAATGTCACCCAATACATCACAAGAGAGAGTCTTGCTATGCAGCCCAGATGAACCTGGAATCCATGATCCTCCTGGCTCAGCTTGGAATAAAGGCACAACCCCCTTCCCAGACACACTACAGGCTTCCAGCTAAACCCCTCTAAACCTACCCAGCCATGTGGGTTCTGTAACATTTTATTCAGCATAGAATGAGTATTAGGGTTATAGTTGTGAAGAATGGAAAAATGGCCGCCACCCTTACTGGAACTTAGAGCATATTTTATTTGTTGCAGTCACTGAATGCCAAGTTAGTGCAAAGACTAAGGGAGACAATAATGTTGCTGTCATGATGCATATACTCCTCTAGGAATAAAATATAAATGCTTGTTCTTGAGATGAGATGCTAGATTAATACTTTATATGACATCCCACACACTGTAACCCAATTTTCAGTGCATTGTCCAGTTCTTACATTCTAGATTATTCAGCAATGTTCCTAGCACCTACCTTATTTCCCACCCAGCTTCCATGTGAAGCCTTGCAAAGGGGGAGAGAGAAGTACAATGGCCAGAAGGCACATAATAGTAAGTATAAAGAAATAACTCATAAAGAATGAACCATTCTTGAAGAATAGGTTTCAGACAAGTAAGATACTTGTTATGCATGTTTTGACATCATCAGTTCAACAGTCCTTGCCTTGGAGAAGACGCTGAACTAAAACTTTATTATTAAGAAGCTTGCCTAAAATTAGGTGATATGGGTTTAGGGTATTGTCTTATATATTTTATAAAAGAATCAGGAGGCAATAATTTTTATTATCCATCAAGAATAGTAAAAGGAGTACAGGCACCAGTGGTTTATACCTGTAATCCTAGCTATTCAGGAGGCTGAAATCTGAGCATCACAGTTCAAAGCCAGCCCAGGCAGGAAAAGTCCATGAGACTCTTATGTCTAACCACCAGAACTAGAAGAGGCACTGTGGCAGAGCACTAGCCTTGAGTTGAAAGAGCTGAGGGACAGTGCCCAGGCCCTGAGTTCAAGCCCATGACCAACCCCCCCAAAATAGTCAAAGGAATAATAAGAAACAACTTGGTGAATTTTTATACTTGCTTTTCTGAAAGAGCCAGCTGAATCAAAGAAAGGGTAAGTGAAGAAAAAGTACTCAATGCTGATGCTAGAATCCCTGACAACTTAATCAAGAAGGGAAATGAGCGAAGAAAAATGAAATCATTTCTGAAATAATTTTAGCTTACTGTTGAGAATTATAGCCCAGTGGAAAGGAATAAGGCAGAAGGCTAAAAAAATCTAAAATACAGGGGAAGTAGACCAAATGACATCCAAATACATATTTTAGATATTGGTCCTAATTTTCACTTTCCCTCAAGCTTCATCTTTCCTTTGGGTCCCAAAGTCTTCATGGGAAAAGTGTGTGTGTGTGTGTGTGTGTGTGTGTGTGTGTGTGTGTGTATTTTACAAGTGAACTCTTTGAAACAAAAGCTGCATTACAGCCCTTGCTTCCTGGGAATCTCACTGGAACACTGATCTATCTGGAGGCGCTCTCTTCTAGATACTCCCTGAGAACTCAGGGGGTGGGGGGGATGGACACTGAACAGGGTATGCTGGGAAAGCAGCACGGAGGGTGAGTTGTTTAGACCCAGTCACTTCACTGGAACCAAGGCCCAGAAGAATTTGATCATTAGATTCTGTCTCTCTATTCACTGGTGCTCCAGGTCAGTGGCTCAGGTCTTCAAAGGGACCAGAACTATGGCAACCATTTCACCGTGTTCCTGTTATTGATGATGTTGACTTGGATGAAAAATCAGTTTTTCTTCCTGACAAAAATATGGGTCAGCATACACATCATCCCATGCAATTCTATGCCTGCATAGGGACCCAAAGCTACCTGGTTTCCAAGCAGAAACGCCAATCAAAACCAGTCAGGAGTCATTTTGAGGATGTTTGGCTTTTCCCGATGTTAATGATCAGTTCATATACTTTCCTGCTTAGCTGTGAAATTCTATCTAGTCTCTTAAAATATTTACATTTACTATCCCCCGCAGTCTATAGATCATAAATATTGACTCAATAGTCATTTGAAAGTAACACTCATAAACTTTATTTATGTTTTTCTCATCAATTTAAAATGTAATACTCTTATATGAAGCATTCTTTTTGGCTTTTGAAATAATGTAGGTCATCTTGTTTTCTTTTTAATTGGGAAGAAAATGTAGATGTTTTGTGGGGTGATGGTGAGGGAGATCAAGAAGATGCAATTCTCTCTCCTGTTACATTCAATCACTCTTATGCTTTGGGGCTTAAACTGTGAGCTCTGCCAGGCACTGGTGGCTCATGCCTGTAATCCTAGCAACTCAGGAGGCTGAGATCTGAGGATCGCAGTTCAAAGCCAGGCTGGGCAGGAAAGTCCGTGAGAATCTTATCTCCAATTAACCACCAGAAACCAGAAGTGGCACTGTGGCTCAAGTTGTAGAGCGGTAGCCTTGAGCTGAAGAGCTAAGGCCTGGAGTTCAAGACCCACGACTGACCAAAAAAAAAAAAAATGTGTGAGCTCCTACATTTTCGGATTGGCGAACCTTTAGATAGATTGTGTTAATGGCTCTTCACACTGAAAGTTTAACACTTAACAATGAGTTGGCTATGTTTACAAGAGTTCCTTGTCACCTTCCTCAGTGAACTGAAAAAGCAACCTTTGCAGACAGGCGAAGTGTTCCTGTTAAATGTTTAGTCCACGGTAGAAGATATATGGTAGCATGGACCAGTGTTATGAAATCTTCTAGTTCCTGCTGACTAGCAGCTAGATTCCACACAAAAGGCATGTCACTTCTTTCTTAGAGGCAAAGGAAATTTTAGATGACCTTTGAAGGTATGATAGGAGTCTTGCATCCTGGGTGTCTGTCCACAGCAGCTGCCTTCCATCCCTAGGCACTTCAGCATCATCCACTCATCTGAGCACTATAGCTTCCATGGGTTCTGGAGATAGACGTAGAAGCTTGGGAGAAAGAGAGAGAAAGAGTCTACAGAGAGAGAGAGAGAGAGAGGGAGGGAGAGACTTGCTATTTTATTATCATTGGTATTTCTGCCATGTAATCAAACCAATTTCTGAAAACTTGAAGAAGAGTTTCCTGTCATTGCTTGAACACCCCTGCTCCAAGAACACAGAGGCCATGTCAGCAGATCGACAAGAACAAATTTTTTCCAGTTTATGTGCTGATACTCTGGAGTGAGGGAATGGGGTTCAGGAGTCTTTATCCTGCTTAGTAGGATTCTCTCAACTATTACTATTTCTGCAAGCCCCTCCCCCCTCCAAACTCATTGCTGGGTCGCAGCCCGGTTGGGAGGGACTGGGCTGAACTGAGACGGAGGCCCAGCTCAGCAACCAACTGCTCTGGTTTCTCTCATAAACAGGGCCTCCACCTGGCCCTTCCTGTGGGTTCCCAACTTTCCCAGCTCAAGCATGCCTTTCTAATCCAGGCATGCAGACAGTGCAGCAGTGAAGGCTGTTTTCTGGACAACCACCTGCACAACAGTGCAGAGTGAGGTATGATTTAGTCCCTGACAAGAAAGATGGCCTTGGCTCACAGACCACACTTCTTCCTGTGTTGTAAACCAGCCTGAGCTCTCCCTTAACCCTCTGGTAACCAGCAAATTCTCTCAGGGCTTCCTCAGAGTGCCTCAATCTCAGTAATGTCACAGCTCCCCCTGGTGGCCACAGTAATATGAAGATAACATGCCTCGTATTTTTGAATGCAGAGAGCAGTCAGGAAATGAAACTCCAATGTGGGCTTTTGCTCTGCTTCACACTGAAGGCATTTGGGAGACAGGAAGAGCAGGCAAGGGCTCTCTCTGACCTCAAACCACCTGTTAATGTCCTCCCAAAGGAACTCAGTTGTCCTGAAATCCCTCCCTAAGAGTCATAATTTTGCTTACGTGTAACAGTGGGATTGAACCCAGGGCCTTGTGTGCACTAGGCAAGCGCTCTCCCATTGAGCTACCTCTCTGGCCTTGTGGGCTCATAGTTGCATGTACTATTTAGAGGTGGGGAAATTGAAGAAGGGTGGGTTGGATGGAAGAAGTAGATCACTGAGGGCATGACCTTGGAGAGCCCCTGAGCTTGCCCAAATCACCCCCTTTGCAGATACCACTTAGTGGGCAGCCTGTTGTGCCAAGTGCTCCTGCCTTCATGTTCTGCCTGGACCTCCAACAGCAAGTAAGGCTGGAATACTACTGGAGCCAGGGGGCTCATGGGCACCAATGTGTCTGCCACTCTGATTCTCTATCCCCTCTTTGCATTCTGCAGGCCGAGTCCCAGTGTGTGGCATAACATTTCATTGTTTGATGTGCTTTCATACAAACCATTTAATATGAATAGAACGGTAAATATTGTTCTTGATGGCTTGTGTTCTTTTATGCCTCTACTATAAAAACAAAAAAAAAACTTCCTCAAGTGAATGCTAAAAATATTCTCCTGAATTAGTTCAGGCACATTTTAAGTTTTGCCTTTCCCATTTGAGAATAAGTAGAGGTGAAATACATTTTTTTGTGGAATGAAAGGAAAGTGGAGAGAGAAATAAGAGGGATAGACATATGACAGAAACAAGAGGGATAGACACACGTGAGCGCTTGTGTACACAAGATTTCCAGGTAGAAACCAGCATGACACAGGCGAGGAACAAACTAGATGTGGGTTAAGTGTGGCCGGACCAGAGGCCTATGATGACACGGATGTGGAATGTGGATAGAGAGACAAACAAAGGGCGGAAGATGCAGGACTTCATGATGCTGGGCTCCTATAGTATAGATCCTATCAGTGAAGGAGTTTATAAGGTGGAAGCCTAGGGGGTCCGTGAAGACTGGAGCCCAGAGTTGAGAGGCAGAGGATGGCTCTGAGATCATCAAGGGAAACACCATGAGTCATAATTAAATCTGCACTATCATGTTTACTACTAGAAAGAGGGAGCTCATCCAAAAAAGGGCATTGGGATGACCTCTGTTCAGGCTGAGGATGGTATGAGAAAGAGCTCTGCACTGATGGTGCCTTTACCGTGAAATGTGCAGGCTGAAAGGGGCTCCGTCTCCGTGACTGAGTCAGAACTTCAAAGGGGCGAGCAGATGCCCTCCGTCTCCCCTCACACTTTCTGTGCAGAGAGGAGGCAGCCGCACAGCACTGTGGAGAAACGGCTGGCACACCAGTACACAGCTGTGTGGGAGGGGGTGGCTGAGTCCACAGTGAGGGAGAAGGCCTCCGTGCGTGGTCTGGACACGCGGTACCCGTCCGGGATGTCTCCTTTTTCCGTGTTGCTCTCTCCATATGAGTAATGGAGCAGCCTCAGCCCATGCCCAGGGTCTTGTCGATACCAGTACATGTATTCGTGGTTATCAGTCTGGTGACAGCTCAAATTCACCTGTCTTCCTGTCTCTGTGAGCTTGTGTCTTGGACGTTGGGTGATGTCAGCCTCCATGTGTCCTGTAACAGAGAATGACCCAAGTCTGAAGGGGCCTGTTCAGGAGAAGCCTGGGATGCCCAGGGTTGGTGGTGGATGACCTGCCCACCTGTAGCCATCCCTCACCTGCCCACAGGAGACAGAAGGCCACGTGGAAGAGCTGGGTGCCCATCTCAGGAGCCGGACAAAAGAAGGTGGCTTCTCAGTGACTCCGTGAGATCACCTTCCCCCACCAATGCTCCCACAGCTCACGTGAGGCCTCCATTCTGTAACCACACATCTTGATGTAATGTGGGGGAGACTGCCTGTAACTGGGGAAGGACAGAGCCCGGAAGTAGGACAGGAGTGCACAGTGCAGAAAGGGGGTGCTTGTTTGTGCCAATCATGTGTCTCCTCTTGGGGTGAGTGCCTCTCTCCTTCCCTATCCATTCTAGAAATGACAATTGTGGCAGTTCACTACCTGTTGGGCTAAAGCACCTTTCAGAAGATTCTTCATACCCAAGATTATCAGTAACGATACTGTCACAATATTTAATCGAAGAAAGGAAAACTGGAAGGGTGATTATAACAGAGGTTTATCAGCAGCAGCAACAGGAGGAGTACTTTATCAGTGCTCTAACTGCTTAATTTCTGTCCCAGTGTTTGAAAGAGGGTCTTACAATCTTTTTATTTCCTTTTATTGTATGCCTTCTAACCTTTCTATTACATGAAGAATAATCCGGCAGAACATTGAAATTGTTTGGGAAAGACAGAAGATAGCTGTGACTAAGGGAGCATGTTTCTGTAACCTGTTATTCAAGATGAAGGGGGTAATAGGTACAGGAAAGGTCTAGATCAAGCTGAGACAATACAGCTCAAAGGCGATTACTAGAAAAAGTTATGCATGGGAACTAATGAGCAGAGATGGCCCCATTTTTCTAGGTGCATTTGGGTAGACAAGTTTATGTGAACATGGAGAGGAGGGATGGTGAGTTAAAAACAGTAGAAAGATAATACTGATCCTCACAGGAGGAGGAGTTAAATTGAGAGATAGAGGGAAATGGTTGGTGTCTTATATGTACCTCATTGAGTTTTTAAATTAAAAATCAGTTTAAACTATAGGAAAGCTCAAGTGTCACACTTTGGATCAGGTGACATAATTTGTAATTTCTAAATGGGCAACACATAGAAAGGCTTGGCAGAGGGAGGCCTGATGAAGACTAGGTTCCTGAATGAACTGAGGTTAAATTGTGCATGGTAAGCAACCATGGGCTTCTGGTGTTTGTGGCTGGTCTCTGTCTCTGGAGGTGGAGGAACAAAAAGCATGACACACTAGACATTGCTGTCAGTCTCTGGTGACTGTGAGTTCACATGGCTTCTGTCTCAGAGCATCTGATTACTCGGATTGGCCACTGCTCTTACATTCCAGAATGGGTCCATTTGAAAACCAAACCAAATGAACATATTCTAATTCCTTCATTTCAAAATTTGGTAAGTGGTAAGTTCCCTTGTGTTTTTTTTTCCTTTCATTTTTCAGGCTCCAGGAAGGCTCTTCTTTGTATGTCTAAAGCCATGTACTAATGTCACATGCCATGATAACATTATTCTGGAGTTCATCAGGGGGCCACAGCTTTGGCTGTGGGAAGAGATGTCCCTAGGGAAGATGTTCTTGCTTTAGCCTTTTAAGGCTTGATTCGTTGAAATAAGTAGTCTATTTTTGGTCCTTACTGCCAGCAGAGATTAAAATGTATTAGCCTCTAAGCATAGATATAAATCATTCAGGCAAAAATGAGAGCTTTCTTCTATCTTAGGGCAAACCTAGGTGATCTTTTATTAGATTATTTCTAGCCTGAAGGATTCATGATTCTTTAAGAACTAGTAGAAGGAGCTTTGCTGGCATCACTATGGTCTTTCCTAAGTAGTAAGAAGAAAAGCAGATAGAAGCAAAGGACGCTGCTCAGTATCTTGTATTACAGCATGGTGTAAGACCAGAATCCAGGAAGGAAGGAGACGAAAAGAAGACCAGCCATAGCTGGGGATGGGAAGATGGGAAGCTCACCCTGCAGACAGACATAGGATCCACTTAAATTGCCATGACAAAGATTGCTCACTTCTGCCCAAGACTCACCTGATCTTAGGAGATGACAGGATGGAAGTGCCCGGATAATGTGTTCAGACCTGTGGCAGGACAAGTGGGAATCCAGATAAGGCCTTCAGGATAGATCGGCCATTAGAGCCTGGAGCTGCTCTGGGCACAGACAGTAAAGATGAGTCACAGAAACACGTGTACTCCCTACGGTGATGTTTAGAGTCTAGGGATTAGGACAGATTTCTGCCAAATAATGACATAAATTCATGTAAAACAGTGACCGTACTAATGCGGTGGATATTTTAGGCCATGAGCACCTATCACATTGGGAGTTGGGGGTTAGAGGAATAGTATACGTAAAGTGCCACGACAGAGAAAAGAGAACGGAAGGGATGGGTTGGCTCAGAGAACCTGGCCTGAACGAGGAAGAACAGTATAGTCCTTGAAGAACATGTTGCTCATGAGGGACAAAGTGAAGCCAAAATGAAGGTGCTGGGAGTCAGGGCAGAACCAAGAAGTAGACACAGTGGAACAAGGTGGAGACCACGGTAAGCATGGGCTGGAGGAGATGGAATCATAAAGCACCAATGGAGAAAAGAATGTAGATTTGTGGTGCCAAAAACCCCCAACTTTGCTCCGAGGTGAGAGAAGTAATCACAGCCCTTCTGAGCTCAGAGCTGAGGCAGCTCAGGGTCAGAGCTACAAGGGTCACAAAAGGGTAGGTTTCACTTATTTACATTGCTTCCTGGTGCAGCCTCTCACCTGGCCAAGACCAACCTGGGGAAGAACCCAGCACTGAGCCACACAAGACTCTGGGAGAAGTCCCATGGAACCATGTCTTCCTCTGGCTGGCTTGTGATCTCAGAAAGACAAGGTCATATGTGTTTTGTATTGGGCCCTGTGAATAGCAAGAAATGTGTATGGAGTGACTACTGAAACAAGAAATCACAGGAAGTTTGGGAGCACCTGCCAGACATTCGGGCAACATGTCTGGCTTGGAGAGTGAGTTGGAAAACCAGGGAGGATTTTTCTTCTTCTGTGAGTGCTACCCTAGGCCAGCTTTAGTTGACTCGTAGTTCAGCTAACAATCACAGGGCACTTCAATGTCTCCTTTCATACTGATCTCATTCTCTGAAGGTGGGGCCATTCTATCATTGAGGAAGTCCGTGATAGAAGGAGCTAGATCTGTAGATCAGGAATTTCCAGTACTAAACCAATGCAAAGGCTTTGATTAGGGTTTTAGAGGACTCACTTCCCTTAAGAGCCTGGTGACCATGGCAGGGGCAGGGAAGAATGGGAGAATGATGAGGAAATCTTCAGTTGTATACTGGGGAATGAAGACCTGGCTGTAGTAGAGGGGGCTGGAGATGTTTGTCCCCACCCTCTCCCATCTTTCTCCCCTTTCCTACCTTCCACTGAACCTTCATCTACATGATCTTTTCGATGGACAGCTTTGTATGACAACCACTATAACTTGGCCTATGTCCATTTTTGTTTATTTTGTTTTTGCTTTAAGCTCAGGTTTTCAAACTCAGGGAAACCTTTTTTTAAGGCTCTTTGATCTTATATCTGTTTTCCTGCTTTAAGCTCAGGTTTTCAAATTCTGGGAACTTTTTATTTTTTAAAGGATTTTTGCTTGACATTGAACATGCCTCCTTCCTTTTCATTCTCAGTTTCTACTTTGCTTCTTGCAGGAAACATACAAATTTCTCATTAGTCATGTAAGGGAAAATTGAAAATTTACCAGAACAAATGAAGGTCTTTCTTAGGGGAAGATTTTGATTTATTTGAGATGCAAACAAGACTATAATATCAGCTGCATCAAACTAGGGTTCACCAGAGCGTACCTCAATTTAAAGATAAATTCATAGGCTATAGAATGAAAGGATATACAAGGATTATAATTGAATATTAAGGAATCCGTGTGAAATTCTATGTTCCTCAAAGTTGTGGAGGAAGAGATTGTGTTGAGCATGAGGTCTGAGCTATCTTTTTCTTCCCAGCTGGACACAGGATAACAAGGCTGAGATTTCATGGTATTAGCCAGGATATAGAATGAGATAATGTAGTAGCCGGGCATATGGAAGATATACAGATTTTATACACACAGAGAAGTCTATGTCCCAGTTTTCTTTCTTATAAACCATGAGGCCTTGGGAAGATAATTCATTGCCCTTGAACTTCTGTACTTATAAAGAAGAATAAAAATATCTTACTTATGTGATTGTGTCAAAACTTAACACACAATGCATATGTAGATAATAATACACATTAAGAGCTAAGGGTTTTATGTAACTGTAGCCCCTCTGTATATCACCTTTATAATAACAATAATTTGTTTAAGAAAGAGCTAAGAGTTCAGTGTTTTTGTAAAATTAAACAGGATTGCACAAGCTGTACGATGGTGCCGATAGAGAAGAGCATTTGGTACACACACTTGAACTTGGCCTTCTTGGTTGGTTTGTTCACAATGCTCTGAGCCAGCAAAAGAAAAGAAGAAGCTAGGAAAGAGCTCAAAGCATCCATTGAAAGAGTAAAGCCTGAATAGAAACCCACACTTCTCCCTGTCAGCCCCCAATGCAGCAAGTTTGTAAACAACATGGTGATTACAGCAAGGCTTTGCAAACTGCTGGCACAAACACACAGCCAAGTCTTCTCGTTCCAATGTTTAGCTCAGAACTACAGTCAAGAGAGTGCTGAGCTGAGAATCTGTCAGGGAAGTTTCTTTCTTCTGTCTGCATATGTGAGTAAAACTCAAAGATTAGCTGGGGGCTCCAGCCAAGGGCCTATGGATAGAAGTACATCCTGAGATTCCCAGGAATTAGGGGCCATCTCAGCATCACTTTCTCTCTACTGCTTTTGTCAGAGTCTGGGATTTGGATGATTTCAATCTTGTAAGGGTCTGGAAGAAAGGCAGGAGGAGAATGAGCATGAGAGGGGATGGGTGGAGCCCCAGCAAAAAACGGAGGACTCTGAAGACCACAAGGTCAGAAAGGTGATGTCCTCCTTGTCTGAAGCACTCACTTGATCCCAGGACACAAAGCATTTCCCAAGGAAGGAGCCTGGAGCTGTATTAGGCTGTATTAGGCCTTGAATCTCTGTGCTCAGTGTTT